TTACAATGGTATTTCCATAGCGTTTTTTAAACTTGTAAAYGTGAGGTCGACCAGCTTCGCACACTTGTGATCATTTCTAACTACGAACTGGTCTATTGTTGTAAATGATTTAAAGGCRCAGTGTGTAGGATTTGTTGTTTTCAGCGACATCTAGTGGTTGAGTGGTTGAATCATCCTCCCTGGTCCTCCCYCCACCCCCACCCCCGCTTCCAAACTCAAAGGAGTTGCTACGGTGTCTCTCAGGTGTCAAAAACCTTTGATAATTCCAACCGCGATGTCTACCAGCAGCTTCAGGGCTAGTGATGTTTCAAGTGGTAAGATTATGAGCTTTAATAAGTAAAATTATCCCAGCTACAATGACAGACAACAAATATTACATTTATAGTATTACAACTAAAACCGTTTTTGACGCCKCCACCGCAGTTTGTCCTTCATGAGCCTTCGTAGACAAGATGGCGGCTGCCTGTAGTGGCGACCCGCGACCATGGAGATATAAACAGCTTTTTATAAGGTAAAAATAATAAAACAAGGTCTTTGCAATGATTAGACATGTTTTTCATTATTGTCGTTAGTGATTATCTCAATTTCGGCTAAAAGAATTGACAAAATCCTACACACTGTGCCTTTAACATAAACACTATTTCTCCACAAACTGCTTTATGACTCAATCTTTGGTTTGATGCGATGATGCGATAATAATCGTTGAAAAACGGGTCTAAATCTACATTTTTTTAATTTATTTTTTAAATTATTATATTATACTCAAGTAAATTCAGTTGTAAGATGAGCACAATGCGGTCAAAGCAATAATGTGCACGGCCAGGAGTACAGTTTTTCCAGATGTGGACATCAAACTCGCCTAACAAAATGTGCCAGTTTTCTTGTGAGTTTTGAGCCGTCGTCCAGCCTCCAGCAGTCAGATCCCAAAGCGATGCAACCTCAATGATCGTGACTTGGTCAAAATCTTTGGTGCGACTTGTGCCTTTTACTTCAATTCGGAAAAAAACAGTTGGGACGTTATGTAGGATGTAAAAAAAATATGAATTAAAATCTGCGTTTTATTGACGGTGGAATGTAGTAAATATATATCAGATGTTTAAATTATACACGACTCCTCTACTACGAAGTCATGCTGTTCTAATAAATGTACGAGTTTCAGCACGTCTTGCCTATTTCAGCAAGACGTTCCCTGAAAACGATGGACACTTACGTTGTTTTAAAATCTACGTGTACGCTGCCAATACATCCCCATACCATCAGAGAGGCAGGCTTTTGAACCAYGTGCTGATAGACTGGCTTCTATTTTGCACGATAGAGCTTTAACCAGCATTTGTCAAATGCTTTTAATTTTGCAACTCTTACTGCCGCTGCCAACATGTTTCTCCGTTATTATTTTTTTAAATTTTATTTGTACTAAATTAAACCATTTGCATCTGTCCAACTTTATAGATGTGTTGCTGCCACTAAARCCTGTTGCACAGAAATAAAATAGGAAAATCAATAAAACATGAATAAAAATTAAACATATCAACGAAAGCACATCGAAATAAACTCCAACAAAAGCTAACGTAACTTTAAAAGTAACCAAAATCAGAGCAAATGTTTCATTAAAAGTTAAATATTTAACGTTTACAATGTTTCATTGTAAATAAAATCGGAGGCGTTAAAGTTCATTTTAGACATTTTTATCAGAGTTTTTAAAAAATGTTGCATCACCTGATGGGATTTGTATTTTTTATCTGTCTGACAACAGCACAGGAGACTGAGCACACTATTAGACATACAGTTGTCACAAAAAAAGCTATTTTTTTTGTTTTTGTTTTGTTTGTTATAATCTTCCTTTTGTTTCTGCAGCGACACAAACAGCTCTAATGTTAAAAAGCACACAAAAAGCACAGTTTGGCAGATTTTGGTATAATTCTTGGTTTGTTTGTTTTCTGTATGTGAAAACCTTGCATGACCTCTGCTCTGTTCACACTTATATCTTTTTAATGTTGATGTGTTTTCGCTCTTACTGTCGTCCGTTTCCTCTAAATGTCACCATGTTACATTACAAAGGAGTTKGTTTATATTTTTTCACAGAGGTGATTCCTTTAAAAAGTGTTTACTTTATAGATTCTCAGGTTTATGAAGATAATATATAGCAAAACTTTAAAAATAATATTGTCTAGCTCACCTGTAGAGGATATTTATTCTCATATTTCAACACAAACAGAAGCACTAAGAGTTTATTTCAGATTTGTGCCAAACGTGAGTGAGTGCCATTTCCTGTTTTCATTTAGTCGACAGTTTTGAGTTTAAATCAGAACTGAAGGTTTTGCAATACAAGCTTTTTTAAATTATTTTTATTTGGTTCTTCACTGAAAATGTTTATTTTTGTTGTTGTTTCTTGCTCTACATCTGTACAGTCAGGATTAGAGGAAACGCTGAATCTGTTCAGGGGGTTTATGTGCAATTCCAGATCCGTAGAGGCATTATACGACAACATCTCAGCTCCTTATTAAACCGTGATGAAAACTTCTTTGTGACTTGTTTTATTTTATATATTTGTTTAGTTCCTTCGCCTCCTCAAATCAGCCCGGGACAACAAAGAGATTTAAAGTGGTGGTTCTGATTATTTAAAGGGAAGTGGGTTRTATGGATAGTTTTTTGACAAATAATATCTTACCTGCWATAGATGGCGACTAATGGACCTTTTATTTCCACAGAAACTCAAAAACTGAAGATGACAGGTTAACTCATTTCCATTTTTAGTACAGCTGGTGTTAGAAATGGACAGCCATGTAGTGCTTTATACCAAATTTTATAGTATTTTGCTAATTTCAATGCAGAGAATTATCTTAAAGTGCACTCCAATAGCTTCATTTTTTTTATTTGATTAGATTTTTTTCCATTTTAATGACTCAGTAACACCACTGCAATAATCCCTAGCAAGTTTTTCTACCAGTTATCAATTTCTGGTTTAAAAAAAAGGAAATTCTGGACTAAAATATGACAGATTACAAGCTAACGGCTACAAGCTAATGGCTAGTCGGAGAGAGCCCAAAACCAAAGTGGACTGCTGCCATCTTAAAACAATTGTTTTTTCATTTTTTTATATTAGTTCAAACCAACATTACTTTATAAATGTTTACAGAACCTGACTGAGACGAGAACTGCGTTAACTGATGAATCATGTGATTAAAGGAGCTTGTAGYGCCAAATTAGTTATTTTTAAAATAAATATAACATGTTTGGCTTTCGTCAGCTGAGGAAACTAGTTAATGAAAAAATAATAATATTTACAAGATTGTTTGAGGAGGTCCTCAGTTTCTCATTWAAAAATTACACTCTTGCCATCTCTGGATTAAAAATAATTCCTGTTTTAGTACTCTATTATTACTACTATTACTTTATTGTTGTATTACTCTTGGGAAATCTTAGAAATGTAAGGTTAGCTTGGTAATCCAGTAAGAATTGAACAGTTTCTTTAAATTGAGACCAATTCTCTCTTACAAAAGTTGATTTCTTTTCAACTTTCATCATCTGCAATACAAACGTTTTCCTCTTATTTGACTGATAGGTGTCAGGTTGTGAAACATGGAAGCTCTGTGTCCGGGTCTCTGCCCTGTTCCGTGGGAGTTCCGCAGGGTAGCATACTGGGCCCATTGCTTTTCCTATTATACATAAATGACCTTCCAAAAATATTGAAGTATTCAAATATTTTAATGTATGCTGATGATACTGTTCTTTTTTTGTCTGATTTCAATATTGAATCTATTAATAGTCAGTTTACAAGCAGATCTTCAGACATTTCATGGTTGGCTTCAAGATAATCTTTTGTCAATTAATGTTAAAAAAACTGTGTGCATGTATTTTTCCTCACCCAGGAGACATTTCAATATAACAAATCAACTCACTTTTTTAAACAAACCCCTTGATATTGCCACTACCTACAAATATCTTGGAATTACTTTGGTTTCTCATTTGACTTATCGTGATCATGTACAAGTCTTAACCACTAAGTTGAAACAGAAATTATACATTTATTCAAAAATTAGATCCAATCTGACATCTTCTGTTTCAAATATCTATCTTCATGCCATTATACTCTCAACCATGTCGTACTGTTTACCTGTTTGGTCTCTTACAACAAATGAAATCTTGGAACCCATAGTTAGGCTCTACAACAGGGCCTACAAAATTCATAAAAAACTTCCTGGTTGGACTCATCACTGTACAGTTCTTTCATTGTCTGATGCCTTGACTTTTCAGATTTATGTTTTGTATAGTGGTATTAATTATATTTTCAAATCTTCCAAGGTGCCAATTATGGAACTCTCTGTGCATTGTTGCCCAAATCAAATTCTGGAAGTGGTCATTCAACTAGATCTGTTACAAAAGGACAACTGATATTACCATCTTTTAAAAACTGTAACGGCCAGAGGTCTTTCTTCTATGTTTATACTAAAGCATGGAATGACATTCCTCAAAACATAAAATCCATTTCAAAACCTACAGCCCTTTAAGAAGAATCTTGTCTGCCATCTGCTGGACACTTTTTGTTGTGCTCATATTTAGACGTCTTATTTTGCAAATGCTGCCTTCTTGAAATTTGGTATGCTTGTTTGTCTTTGYGTCTATGGTGTATAATGATGTGATTGTGATGCTGTAATTCTGAGTGTTTTATGTGCTGCAGAACAGGAACCTGCTGGAAAACAGCAATTATGCTGAGTCAGGCTTGATTTTTAATCATCTTTTCCTGTTAAATAAATAAATCAAATCAAATCAATTAAAAAGCTATCTGCGACAGGCAAGGTGATAATTGTTCAGATCTCTGCACCCTCTTTTAAAAATAAATAACTCTTTCTACGAGAATTCTCGGAGTAAAAAAAAAGAAGTGTTTTTCTGACCAGCGGGCCAGAAAACAAGCTCTGGCGTGGTATTTCATGTGTTAAATGAAGCATAAATACTTGCACTGAAGCAGCGACTATAACAGGAGACGCACACACCCACAGATCTACACGTTAGAGACATCTTTATTTGTTAGATTTTAGCACTTATGATGCAAATAGATTCACCACAGGCCTGAAAATGAGAACACAGATAAGTATTTTCCAAGTTGTCTAAACGCTGTGCTGCAGTTTCAGCCCAAGAGCTTCTGTATCGTGGAACTCCCCCGTCCAAACCAGTCCTTGTGCATCAGTGAAGGTCCCGTCTCCTTCTAACCTAAAACACAAAAGTTAAAACCTGTTTAAATGACTCATCGTTAAGGATGTTGAAATAATTTGTACCTGTTTTTGTGAAACTGGCCCCGGTACACAGAGGTATCTGGGAAGACGTAGGTTCCTGAGCCGTGGAACATGTTGTCTCTGAACTCTCCTTCGTACCTGGCTCCAGAGGGGTGCCGTAAGGTTCCTCTGCCCTGCATCTGGAGGGGGAAAAAAGATTGCATCACAAACTCCAACCATGTCTGAGACGTGTAGCAAAATTAAAAGAAGAAAGACGCACTTTGTCCTCGCACCACTCTCCGATGTAAACGAGCCCGTTTGATGAGGTGTGTTTTCCTGTTCCGCTCCTCACCAGAGCTCCAGATGAAGATCTGCTGCTCTCTCCTTCTGGAAAACAAACACTTTATATTTATTTATTTATTAGTATAAACTGTTGGTGTTTTGTCACTTTCTATGTAGTTCATGAGATCTGAATTGTCTATAATTGTTTGTATCTTTATGGTTATTTTATGACTTTTTCCTAWTTTGAACTTTTTTATTTCTGTGTTAATAAAATTTAGTTCTGAAACCATTTTTCATTTCATGAAAGTAACATCTTAGCAGTTATTTAACATCTTTGAGGTCATATTTAACACATTTTTGTTGTAATTTATTGTCTCTTGTAGTTTTGTCTTTATTGCAATTGTGTACTTTTTGTTTGAATTTATTAGTTGTTTAAGAAAAGTCTTTGCTGCTATGAAGTAGGATTTTGACTTTATTGAACATAATGTATTAGAAGAAATAAACAGTTATATACAAAAGAAAAATAAATTTAAAACAAAAAGCAAACAAAAGAATAAAAATAGTGAATTATATTAACACGTTCAAAGGAATGGGTAGAAGTACAAAGTTATTTTTACACCCACCCCTCTTACACAATCATCCTTAATTACAATTCATAAGAACTTGGTTATAACGTTCTTTTTAAATATGTTATATTTCCATTTCTCTGACTTGTACAATTAAATTAATAAAAAATAAAAATGTAAGGCTAACCCTATGTGGCTATTTTACTTATTTGTATTATTACAAAGGACAACCAACTTTTAAAAACTGTTACGGCCAGAGGTCTTT